CCCCTCCCCAAGCCCTGTGGGGAAGGGGTGTCCCCTTCAAACCCCACGGAAAGGAGTGACCCCCCCAAGCCCCCTTGCTGACCTCCCCATCCTGTGGGGAAGGGGTCCCCCCTGAAACAGGGCCACCCTGCGAAGCCTTGGAGGCTGGTGTGGTACCCCCAGACTTTCCCGAAGCCTGCAGGGAAGGGGTGACCCCCAAAATCCCACAGGGAAGGGGCTGTTCTCCAGAAAGCCAGTGGTTAAAGGTGACCCCCCCGCACCCCAGGTCCTCTAGCTGACCCGCACCCCAACCCCTCTAGGGCTGTAGGAGAGGGTGAGTCCTCCGATCCTTCTGGGAAGCGCCGATGTTCCTGCAGAAGGCAGGTGGGGGGGCTGAATGTGGCCCCCTCCCAGGGGTGACCCCTGCTTGCACCCCCTAACCGAGCCCGTGAGGGGGTCTTCGTTGGCGAGGAGGAGCGGGGAGCTCAAGCCCCAGCCCGGTGGGACTGAGCCCCCTGTATCTGGGGAGCCCGGCACCCCCAGCCCCGCAGGGGCGAGCAGGGAGGTGACAAATCCCTCAGCAAGGCAGCTGGAAGCGGGGCTGGGCTGGTGTGACCTCCGTATCCCCCCCCCCCGCTCTGTTTTTGGGGTTTTGGGGGTGGAAGGTTTGGTCCGTGATTGCTGAGGGTGGGGGACACTGGGGGAGAGGGGGCAGGACCCAGCTGATGCTCCTGTTCCCTATGGCGGTGGGGATAATCCCAGTGCCCAGCCTGGGAAGGGAAAGGGGCAGGACTGGGGGGACTGGGGGGATGCAGACAGCGTCGGATGGAGGGGAGACGTCCCAGCAGCCGTTACCCACGGGCTGCATCTACATCTGAGCCCGATTCCTGAGCTGTCCTTGCTCTGCTGCAGGTCAGGAACCGTATCTCCTGTCACCTGCAGGCACCCCGGGGTCTGCAGGCAGGGAGTTACCAGCTGCATTAACCCAAAAAGTTCATTTCTGAGATGTCAGTTGGGGGTTTTCTCTGCTCCTTTACTGTCTGAGGGTGTCAGAGCCCTCCCTCTCCTTCTCTGTCGCTAAGACAGGAGCGAGGCCACGCGCAGACCCCTCGGGTGCTGAGCCCCCTTCCCTGATTTCTGTAAAATCCAGGCAGATGGAGCGACGTGGCCCCTTGGTGGCAAGAGGGGGGCACACAGGCTCCGAAAGCGCCTGCACGCAGCCCGGGCGAGGGGCCCCGGCACGGCCTCCGGCAGGGGCTTCTGCGGGCACGAGCAGCCCCCGAGGCTGATCCTCATCTGACGGGATGGAAGTCGGATATCTGCATCCAGATCCATCCCAGCTCCTTTTCTCTGCAGCCGGTAGCTTCACCTTCGGGTGCTTCTCTTCCCTCTTGTCTCCCAAATTTTGCTCCGCTCTCTTTTTACACCATTTCCATCTGTTGCTGACTTCAGCGCTTTACCCTCCAGTGTTTCAAAATCTACTTTGTTAAAAGAGTTACTGCCCCAAACCTGCTCAAACCCCGTCCGTCCCCAAGCCTCAGGCTTTCCCAATGCCTCAGTAATCTTTCTTGCTCGACCTAGGAGTAAAATTCCAGGCCTGCTCCATGAAACACCTTTACATCAAACCTCGGCTGGTTTTTCCTTTCCTCGGATCTGGCGTGCCGCGAGCGGTTTCCTTCGCTTCTAAATCGGGAGCCCGGGCGGACCGAAGTCCCTTCTGCTTTGCGTGGGCACTAAAGAGGTCGCCGCATCCTCTGCCTGGAGGATGGCTTGCCCAGCTCTCCCGGTGTGTCTTGCTCCAGTTTCTATTTCAAGAGCACCCAGAAACCCAGCTCAGGGTTGAGGCCTCGTTGGAGGCTGTTGTTTTGCCTCTCCCGCTGGGCTCCGCTCTCATTCCCCTCCGGAGACGGCTGGATTTCGGTAGGGAGAAGGATCGTAGAGCTTTTGGTGGGTCTAGAAATGCAGGTTGTCACAGTCTGGGCTTTATGAAAACATCTCTTGGGAGCTTGTGCCTGCCACAGTAACGAAGATTTTTTTTTCTCTTTTGAGATCTCCGGTCTTCTGGCCTGGCCCTGGGGTGGGGACGGGGACGGACAGGTTCCCAGTGACCTGCTGGGGACGTGGCTTGCCGTCAGTTGTCCTCAAACCTGTTCCTCACATCATCCCTTTGAAGGAAAACACAGCCAGACCTTCCTTACGCCCTTCCCTGGCCGGTCCACTTGACTTGCAGAGGCTTTTGCAATCTTTACTCGGCGCCCAGACGTGCTTTGAGGAGTGTGGCCCGACCAGCCGCTGCGTTGGGTCGGTGCCGTCCCCATGACGTGGGGACAAGTCGGCGTAGAGGTGACGCCTGGACCCCTGGCCGTGGGGAGGACGTGGCCGCGGGGCCGCTCTGCCCGCGGTTGCGGTGGGGTGACCTCGGGAGCTGCTCCGGCTGCTTCCCTTCGGTTGGTCCTCGGAGGCTCCCCTCGTCCCTCCAGGCTGCGTAGCCGTTGCCCCGCCTTGCAGGAGAAGCGCTGGCTGTGTGCACCCCACCGCCGACTTCTTTTGGGGCAGTGACTCTCTCCCCGTGCCTCAGTTTACCCCCAGCAGCGCAAGTACTGGCTCCGTGGGGGATGATCCGCAAACCAGAAGTGATAAATTGGGAGAAGCTGGATCCGTTTGTTGGGACCGGGACATGATCCCGCCCCCCAACCTCTCTTTCTCTCACCCCAGACAAGTAACTTCTCTCCCTGTCTTTCCAAAAACAAAACAAATGCTGAGCGCACTTTTTTTTTAACCGCTTTCACCAGGATAATGGCAACCTAGACTAAAGCCCTGGCTGCAGATCGTTTGTCTGTCCGGGAGGTTGTTCTTCCTACCGACCCCCTGGGACCTGGCGAGGGCTCCCAGCACGTTGGGTTTAGATGCAGCCATCGTCCTCGGTGAGGCTGCTCTGTCTTCTCGCTTCGGCAGTGAGCCGGAGCCTCCCAGGGAGCGGGCAGAGGTGGTGTAGACTGCACACCCTGAAACGTGGGTGCCCCGAGCAGGGACGGCACCTCGACGGGTCACCGCCGGCCCTTTCGGGGTGGTTGGGGGCTGCCTCGGTGTCGGCAGGAGCCTGCAGTGTTAATGGGAGGCTGGGGCTTTGCTGGGGCTCCGCGGGGCTGATCGCTGCCCGGGCGGCCGGACTGCAGCGCTGGTTTGATGCTGCGAAGCCGGCTGATGTTTGACGATATCCCCTGCCGGCTGTTTCGATTTGTTGTGCGCTGTGGGCGCTCGTCCTGATGGGGCTGCAGCCCTGCGGATCTGTTTTTATTTTAAAGTGGGGAGGAAAAACCCGAGAGAGAGAACGTGTGGCTGGATGAGAGGCAAAGCTGAGCAGGCATTTCAGCTCTCCCGGTGCCACAGCGCCTGCAGTGCCGACTGCTGCCGTGTGTGCTGGTTTCGGCCCCGTGCCGCTCTCCCCAGAAGCGGTGGGAGGAGGCTGGAGCGATGTCCCTGCCGTGGCCGGCTGGTTTCATCCCTGCTGGGCTTCTGTCCTCGCCAAAATGGCCTGACCCCCCTTCTCCTTTGCCGGTGTGAAGCCGGGCGGTCTCAGCTGGGAGCGAGCCAGGAGAGGAGCTGTTCTCGCTTCCTTACCTTGAAGAGCTCTGGATGAACGCCGAGGATGAGACCGTCTGTCCGCTGCCGCGCACGGTTAAAAGCTGCTGCCCCAGCGTCCGGCGTTTCGGTGATGGAGTTTCCCTCGTGCTCGGCGCAGCTCAAAGAAATGCTTGAATCAGCTGAGAAACCGCGTGGCGATGCCGAAACGGAGCCAAGGTTAGGATGCGATGGTCCCCGTCTGCAACGCTGGTGACAACACAATATTTATAGCGAAGAGTGTGCCTGCGTCTCGCCGAGGGCCCTGTCCTTGCGCCGGGGGGAAGACGACGAAGCAGCAAGTTCTGAGGTCAGGTCTTGGGGCAGAGGAGACGGCGCGTGCCTTGTACGGGAGCGAGCAGGTAAGGGGGATGTCCCAGAGCGCTTGATGTCACCTGCTGTCCGGTGTGACAACTGCTTTGTCTTCTCTTGGCAAAATGTTTTTTAAAAAAAAAAAACCGCACAAGTTGCATAAAATTAGCTGCCTTGTGTCATTTGAGCCCTGGATCTTCTTTCCGAGAGGGACTAGGGCAGGGATTAGGGACGAGGTGGTGGAAAACGATGGGTTACTGCGCAGTCTGTCTTCTCGACCTCCCCGTGCTGAAGCTGAGCTGGAGACCGTACCTGCGCTGTTGGGTTGAAGGATCACAATCCTCCAGGAATTCACCTAGTGACTTTTTAAAGATGCTTTATGCTTCTGGCTTCCCGACAGCCTCTGGCCGCAGCCTCCACGGCCGATGCGTAGCGTGAGGAAAGTCCTCAGGCGGTAAAAATACACGTGGAGGTGATGAGCTGCCTCGAGGAGTGGGGACCCGGGGAGAAGCTGATGAGCTGCAAGGGTGACACGGTCCTGGTTCCCATGCCAGCGCGATGGGAGAGATCAGGAGCCTGTGAGCGCTCCAGCATCCTGCCAGGGAAGAGACGCCGTGGGGTTATTCTGCTGCTGCTTCTTCACGCGCGAATGTAAGAGCCGTCTCTTGCTAACGGAGGGTTCAGGCGTGTGCGGCTCAGCCTCAGTGAGCTGCGACTTGGTCGTGTGGCTCTGAAGTGTTGAACTGGGGTCAGTCCTCTGGGTCTCTCTCTTTTTACGCACATCAAATATAAACCATAGAGTTTATTTAGTGCAAGGAGCAGCTGCCCCTTGGGTGAAGCCGGTTTGGACAGTACAGAGTGCTGTTGCCCGGTACTTAAAGACGAGGAGTAAATGTTGCAGCTGTGGGGATTACAGGAGGGATTTTTAATTCAGGGAAGACAAATGAGTCAGCCCAAGCCTGGGGCGGCGGAGCTGAGTTATCCTGCCCGTAGCTGCCTGGTGAAGAGAGGGGAAGGTAGTTAAGTGCAGGGTTAGAGCTGTGGGACGGGCTCCTGGCCATCAAGGGGAGGACAAGCGACCAAAGTAGAAGTGTGCAAAGCTGCTGGATGGAGCAAGAGTCAGGGAAAACTTCTCAGCTCGCCTTATTCTCTCTCCCTCGTTGGAGCCCGCGCCTTGCTGGTCAGGGAGCTTGCTTTGATGTCTCCTCTCCAAGTTGCCGGTGCCTGGAATAGCCAGGAGAACACGAGAAGGGGACGGTTTGAGTCCCGCCTTGCGGGTGAGGGTGACGAACTGACACCGTTACCTGCGGGCCCTCGGCCGCTGGGAGCTGCTCGGGTTCGATGCCTCAGCCAGGAAGATGCTGACGGTGCCAAAAGTGCCGCAACGGAGGGCTGAGCCGGCAGGACAGGCTGGGCTGCGGAAGGGACGTGCCGCGCAGCGATGGCCTCGTCAGTATGGCACAGGGCGCCGTGTGGCTTGGCGTTTGGGCAGCGTGGTGTCCCCTGAGCGGGAGGCGGCGCTGACGGCGGGAGCTGGTGGTTCCTGGCTTGCTGTGCGTCCAGGTGGGACAATGAACAGGGCGAAGGTGCCTCTGCCAGCTCTGGCCATGTGCCTCGCTTTGCCCGCTCAGCCCGAATGGCACTGTGGATGGAGCAAAGCAACCCGCGCGTCGCTTTTCCTGCTGCTTTGTGCTCTTTAAATTCAGTTTTCTGCGGGGACCTCAAAACTTAGACTGGTTTGCTCCACACACCTTTGCTTGCTTCTTAACTGGAATTGCATTTGCATCTTTCCCTCTGTTTTGGGGGTGAAGGGGTGCTTGGGAACCACCTGGGTGGCTGAAAAACCTTCTAGTCCGTCCTTTCTGCCCCGGCGTAGGATCAAATCTAGCAACATCGCTCCCGACAGACGCGCTTAGGCTAGACGTGTATGTGCCACCCAGTCCCGGCTGCTTAGGGAATCAACTGGCGGCTTGCCTCTGGCTAGCTAGCCAGCACGTGTCTCTCGTGAGCAGGGCACAACGGGCTCCCGTCGGGCAGAGCCGCAGGCAGCGAGGGCTCCTGGTGGGATTTTCTTTTATTTTCCTTCTGGGAAACACAGACCACCAGGCTGAAGGGAAGACGGAGCGATAGGATGCTGTCATTCCTCCCTGGAAAGTCTCTTTCTTTGCGCCGCGGCTGGATCCTGCTTGGGCAATGAGGTCCCCGTGCTCAGCGAAACGGTGGCGGTGGCAGTTCTCCGGACGTGGGGCGCCCATCGCGCTCTTTCTGTGCGGGCTCCGGCAGAGACCGGGGCTGTCCGATGCCTCCCCAAACCTCTCGCAGGCAGCGGGAAGGTAAGCCGAAGGGCTCGTGCCGCTCTCTGCCTGCGATGGCTCTGCAGTATCCCACCCACCGCCCGTCCTCTCTTCTGGTTTCCCTTCTCCCTCCCCCCTGTTGCTATTTATCCCAAATGCCATTTTTATCTCTCTTCCTGCTCTGACTATACATTCGAGCTTCTGGGCAAGATGCTGGTAATTTCCATACAGTTTATAACATAAAAAGAAACATTCAAAAGCTTCCAGAAACGCATCAGACCTGCAGCGTCCCCGATGGCACGGCCTGCTGCTAAGTTTAGAGGGGGGGAAAAAAAAAGAAATATCTTTCCAACGTGGTCGTTTTGACGGGGAAAATGCTGGAAATGAATTAAGTGAAGGATTTTTAGGCAGCACAGAGGATCCTCCTGGTTCGGTATCGTTCTGCAGCCTGGCGGTATAGGATGAAATGAGGCGGTATAGGATGAAATGAGGCGGTATAGGATGAAATGAGCTTCCTGACCCCAGTATTTTAGTGCCTAGCTTTTGATTCGGTACGTATTCATTACTTTTAAGAAATGCCAGGCTTTCACTGCTCCTCGCTTCTAATTTGCAGCTCAGAGCCAACGTCTCTGAAGAGGGATGCCTGTGAGTACCCCGCGTTTTGCAGAGCCTTTCCCTTTTTTCCCCCTGTATTGTAATTTTTGTTCAGAGGTGGGTCCGTGCCGTACCCCGCCGCCTTCCCGGCTGCGCAGCCGGCCTCGCTCGCCACGGCGGCATTCAGCCCCGCAATTTGCTCCTACACAGAACCGA